AAAAAAAAAATTAAAAGAATTGACAAAAATGAAAGCAAACAATTAAAAATATTTTTATTTGAAATTTACAACTGTTTATAAATAAGTTCTATCACTTTAAATTATGGGAGGGAGGAATTGAGATTTGTTGATGTTTGGTCCTATTCACATTCGGAGGTCTACATAAATAATGAAAAATATATAAATAAATAAATAAAAGGATTGGAGAAAGGGAGGAACAACGATGGTGGCAAGAGTGACATTCATTGAATTTACATAAATTAACTTCAGAAAGCATTTTTCACTTTACTTAATACAAGAACTGGAGAGCTGATTGGTTTTGATGCGGTATAGTTTATTTTCGTCCTCACAATGTCAAATTTGTTTGGTTTGCAAATTTTAAATATCTGAATATATTAATTTTCTATATTTTCCCTTATAAAGAAATAAGAAATAATGCACATTTCATGCACACCGACACTACCTTATAAACAAATAAAAGCATTTCCAAGTGGATGTAGAGGTGGGACCCATTGAACCTTTCAAAATAATGTCCAATTCATTTGCCACCACTCGACTTGACTACCTTATATAGATAATAACTATTTAATTTCTAAAAAAATAAAAACAATATTTTGAAACAAATCTTAAAATTACAAGATCTTACATATATTATTTGAAGAAAGAAATTTTTATCATTGATTGAAGGTACATTTATGCTTTCAATTTAAAGGAGAATAAAGTCTTAAGCAGAGTCTTGATTAATATTTTAAGTACACGAAAAGTTAAAACCTTTAATAATGACGGAATCTTGATTCCTCTTTAAATCTCGATGAACCATATAAAAGCTTGCTTTCTTTATCTTCTCCATCCTTTGTCTTTAGTATTGAAGTGAAGTTCAAGTAAAGCATTCAAAGCTAGAATATGTGTAGTTTCAAGCATTGTTCATACATTGAAGATGCTTAAATCTTACGAAGCAAATTGCATTGAACACACTTTTAAGAATGAGAATATGTGCTAAACCATTCTCCTCATAAAATGAATGTTCAATGAGAAGGGGAAAAATATAATGGAGTCAAAAAGTAGATTTAACATCTTTTATTTAATTTAATCGCCTTCTATTCGAGGACGAATAAACCTGATTATCCATGTCATCTGCACAAAAGCAATGAGCTAGGAATTTTTATTCACTTTAAGCTAAGCCAACAATCATTCATTCATATTACATGAACATCCATCCAATCTACACATGTACAAGACAATTGATGGAAAGAGACGTCGTCCCTGTCCCAATCCCATTTTTTTTTTCTTTCCTATGGTGTAAACCTGATTCGGACCACCATTAGAAAATTTACACCAACATATTACACCTAACTTACTATTGACTACTTGATTTTGATCGCTTGTCCATTGCTGAGTTGGACTCCTTTGGGTTACTTAGGATGAGGGCATTTATTTTAACAGCCTCTCAAAAAACCTAATTCCGTGTGGTACTCCAACATTCTTCCATTGTAAAGGCTCAAATTTTGCCCTGGCATTTTCTTCTTCTGCACAAAGAATGGCAATCATCAGGTTAGATGAAACTTCAATTTATGTAACCAACTCCAAATAAGCATCTAAAAAAAATAGTTTAGTATCCAAATATACGTTATTTTAAAATGAATTCGCATTGTATCTCAATAATATGGGGAAACGGCAAGTTAAATCATTTCCAGGAAAACCGTTTTGGACCTTGAGTTCAAGAATCGATCTTCTAACTCTAACCAACATCATAACCCCTATCTCAATTATCACACACAATTAGTATGAAAGGAAGTTTCAATAAATCATGCCTAATGTTGTGCTAAGTCCAACAAATCTCTAGCCAACCCACATTATGTTTTCACCGTCCCAGAACAAAAAAATTACCCCTTTTATGCATAGCATCAGAATAAGAACATTGGTTTATAGATGAAAAGAGAGTAAAAGTGCAAAGTGGGTATTTTAGTTAATGAAGTTTATGGATTCGTGTGACCAAAGAAACACCAAGTAAATACATGTTCTGTGGCTCACATGAACAAATGGGCATTATCTATTTTGGCAAATTTCAGCAGTAAATATCTCAACACTAGATTTTCAACACCCTTAACAAAACAATCCACCAAGACATGTGGAAAACGATAATGACTTTTCACTACTACAGATTTCCGAATCATACTATGGTAAATTATATCAACTATCTTAGAACAACCCAAAAGAGAAAAATATTAGATCAAACATATAGCATCACATCACCAAATTTTGATAGCTCAGTCACAGACTCACAGTACAATAATTTACCGAAACAATTCAACCAAAATCAGGGAAACTAAACTAAACTTAACAAGGCTAATGATAAGAAGAAAGTATATTGCATACCTAATTACCAGAGTAAACAATCAGTCTTTGAAAATAACTGAATCAGCAATATCCATCAATGGCACCAAGCAATCTGGTGAAAATTTTCGCGCAAACACGTGGGAATAGCTCGAATTGGATTCCCTCAGCCTGTAAATCAGCTCAGGGGACAATTCAGGAGGGTGATAAGTGTGCGGATGCCCATTCACACTGTCGGTCCAATTAACCCTTGTCAGTGTGTAATGTGTGCATCCTTTTGGATCCTGCATTGACAAAAGTGTAGGAAAATAATGCTCCTCCGGATAACAAGACTCAACATTTAGACAAGGCAGCTTGAATTTCCTCCATAGTCGCCTATCTTTGATCACCGTCAACGCGTGCTTTCGCGTTAATGTAAAAAACTGAGAACCCACTCGGAATTGATCGAAATCCACTTCTGGGAGCATTACATTCTCTCCTCTGGCATTATACCTATCCCATAGAGTTGGCTCATCCGACAGGATCTCAATGTAACTAGGAAACTCCAAGTCACCCGATAATTTTCTCAGATCAAACAGAAAATTATAGAAATAGTTAAACGAATGAAGCGGAATACAGTGCTGTGATATCAACGCAAAGTACGCGTTACCAGGGTCATCGAGCATTGCAGTGGCGAGAAGCCTGCGCGCAGCCGAAACCAGAGTAGGCGAAGATCTCTGAGTCCTCTTAGAGGGTATAATCTTATCCTTAAACACCCCATCTGGGAGGGTAATTTTCACCGAAGGATCGGCGTGGATGTAAATATTATAAAGATGCTCGTGAGAGTTATTATTAACACTAACATTCGCGAAAAAGCGTTCCCACAGCGGCGCAAAGTGGAGGTCTGAATTAATTAGGAAAAGGAATGCGATTTTGGGGCGGTGGAAGGTGGAGCCGAGGCGGGATCTGGTAGAAGGGAGTCTATTACGGTGTTTACGTGGCAAATTGGCTGAATCCATGGCTATGGCCTTCTGGAAAAGTGAAAGGTCATCGAGTTCATCGGGTACAGAGATTGAGATTTGCCGCGACGAGAGGATTTTGGGGGCGAAGAAGAAGAATAAAATCGGTAACGACAGAAGGAGGATTAGGGTTGGGATTAGTGGGGAAGACGTTGAACAAGCCATGGCTATGAATCTACTGTTCCTTTTTTGTTCAAAATTGAAACTTTTAGAACATCAGACTGTAACTGAAACAAGACTTTTACAGTGCAGGGTTTCAAAAAAGGGGGAATCAGAACGCCGTTTTCATATCTGGCGGCTGCGGCGGTGATGGTGGAGGGAGGAGTAGGAGGTGGTGGTGGGTAGGGTTTGGTGATTGGTGTATTGTGTGCTTGGGGATCGTTGCAACAATTGTAGTGAAGAGAAGGCAAAGTCGGTAGTAAGGGTAGGCGGGGTGGGGTGGGGTAGTGATTAAGACGGGAGACTATCAATTGGATTTGGAATGCAAAATGGTTGGAGTGTGAGTGGTACTTAAAGTCGGATATACGGGAAGAGATGATAAACGGCGTCTCTCTCTAGAGCTCTTTTACTTTAACGGCGTTACTATTTATTTTTTCAGAATGACAACCTTCCTGTTCTCGTCTTTCAATTTCCGGGAGTGAACGGAAGTTAGGCTCCGTTTAATTGCAAAAATTGAATTTAGGTGAAAAAAAAATGAATTTTAAAAAATTAAATTGCTTAAAATTTATTTTACTAAGAATTATCAATTAATTGTGTTTGATTGGTATAACTTTCCACCTGAAAAATGTTGAAATTTTGTATTTTTTTGTGTTCGTTTGACTTTGTTTTTATGGAGATTGTCCAATAAAGAAATAGAATTTGTTACCATTGAAGATAGAATTTGTTTCAATTGTCAACAAAAAAAAGAAAAGGCAGCCTACATGAAAAAACCAATTCAAGAAAAAGCAAGAAAAACGGGTCACATGGAACTTAACAAGAAAAACTAATTCCATGAAATTTTTGGCCAATCAAACATACAATAACTTGGAAAATGAAAAATAATTTCCAACTTCCATGAAAAATATACCCGTTTGCCTTAGAGTACGCAATCACGATTGAGTTCGAGTTTGGACACAGCAAAAATCGACAAACCTATTCATAGTCCTCGATTCAACTTGCATAGAGGAGATTAAATTTTTTCCCCAAAAAATAAATGAACAACAAAAGAGCATAACATTCTAATACAACATCATCATAGCTTCCTAAATGGCAGAAACTTGTACAACAATACAATACAAACCATGAAATGAGAACTATCATAACACATTTTTTTCCAAACTATTCAAGACTCACTATGTAACCTTACAATAGTCCCTTTTTAACTTCCGGGTTCTCTAGTATCGACTTATGAATGATGGATCAGAGGAACGACTGCTACATTCAAACTACGAGGAAACTGAGTTTCTCAACATGCACTGGAACGAACCAATAAATACAATAATAAAATTATTTCTGCAAGAACAACGACCGTCTCTTAATCTCAGCAATGGTGTAAGAGATATTACGAACTGACACGGCGACGTAGCATCTCTTCATGATGCGCACTATATGTACAACCAAATATGGCAGTTGCTGAAGATGATAATATGATCTTATGTGATTATCTAAATGCTAATGATCAGCCCCGTGGACTGGATTTTGAAGGTTTTACACCACTTTCAATTGATTTGGATTTATCCATAGCAGGCTTATGAGCAGAAGGCGACCTTTTGACAGCAGTTCTACTTTGTTGCTTGGTGGATTGAACCCCACGACTTAGACCTGATCAAACAAAATTGTAGGAAAGAAACACGTGCACAGAGTGCTAGTTAGGAAGACATCGAATCATAAACAGATCTCAGTATTTTATTAGATTCACTTGCAATAATGTAGTTCCATCAGTTGAAAGAGAGGGACTAACCACTGCTAGGCAGAGACAACCGCTTCTTTCCTAGTTTATCTGAAGAATTGGATCTCTCTTTAGGATTGCTATGTGATCTTGAATCAACATTGGGCCTTGAGGTAGCCTCCTCGGCCAAGTCTTCAAGAACTGGTTTAGACCTTAGTGCAACTGGTGTTTCTTGCACGTTAGCTGCCATATTTGGTGAAGAACTAAAACCATCAGAATGAGATAGAGGCCTTTTTTCATTTGAGATATTTGAGTTAATGCTTGAATGAGAGGGACCGATTTTCTCATTTGCAATATTTGACAACAGTTTCTTCTCGGCAGATTTTAAATGAGTTTGGGCTCCGTTCTCTGTGTTAGACAATCCATTTTCAGGAGTCGTCACTTCGTCCTTTAAATTAATGTCTAAAAAGCGGTTTTCCCATGGACGAACAGCCATCCATCTTTCCAACCAATTCCATCCCCAGCTGCTTTTATCGGGTTCAAAACCAGGAGTTGCTTGCTGTCTTGAACCTGCCTGCCACTGAAATGTAGGAAATTTAGGGGCATTGTGAATAATTCCATCCTAAAAGACTTTAGTTTTTGTTTTTGTTTTTCCCAAGAGGTTTGTTCCATTTTAAAAGGTTTAACCTGTATATTATACCATTGAAGTGACCAAGGAAAGATTTTGATTGGGCCCAGGGCACACAAAAGTCAGTTCATGGAAAGGGTATGATGGGAATTTAGTAGAATGAATTGTATAGACTTCTAACTATAAAAAATGGGGAGGATAGTTTCATTTTCATTCAGGCAGAAATTAGGGAATGGTTGGGGAGAGAGTTGAGCCCCTAGAATGCTCAACAACACTTTGTAATTCAATTTTATTCAGCAATACAATTTACATTCTATTTTCAGCATCAGAATTGAGGATCTTATCAGATTTCTGTTCCCCTATGGGCTATGTCAGTTTAATTGCCCTCCAATTCAATCTACTCTTTCCTAGAAAATTTTTGAACCATAAAATATACAATTTACATGCCAACTACAATCAAACATTATCAATTCCGAAGGTATCAATTGGCAGGCAGCCTGCCATATTGGATAGTGTACTAACATCCTAAATTCTACTCAAGCCATCAAATGCATATGCATAACAATTATTGATGGTTTATTCCCTTTTAGCTAAGTAGGTGAGAAATAGGATGTAGGCATAAATAATTAAGCAACGAAGTTCAAAGATGTAAAAAAATTAGTAGCCATTTCCTCATTAAACAGTTTTCTGACAAATACTTCCATGTAGTCCTTGCATAATTTTGCGGAATTCACAGAACAGCAAAATTACATTTACTAGAGGACAAAAGAATATTTAACTGGTGAGTCATAGCATATGCCATTGCAAAACATTAGTAGCAATTTCCTCATTAAACAGTTTTCTGACGAATACTTCCATGTAGTCCTTGCATAATTTTGCGGAATTCACAGAACAGCAAAATTACATTTACTAGAGGACAAAAGAATATTTACCTGGTGAGTCATAGCATATGCCATTGCTCTTTCACGCTTAGCTGCTGCCTCCTGCCTCTTAAACAACTTGGCTTGAATTTCTTCAACAGATCCAACACCGTCGCACCACCCTTCCTGGGTAACAAATCCAAAAATCAGAGGCAATGCAGATCACTAGACAAGAATAAATTAAATAATATCCCCTTCTCGCTAAGTTCACGAGTACATATAATTCTCTTAAAATGCTAACACATCAAGCCTCCTATGGTTTCAACACGTAAGACCTCTCGATAGAGACAACAAAAGGCAAAAAGATTGCACGTAATTCTTGGAAACCAAGAGAGGATCAGTGAACTGTAGGGGGCAACTTGCGATTAATACTAGTCAAGGATAAGGATAATGATGACTGGAATAACCAAAAAAAAAAAAAAGAGCAACAATACATACTGCTTTAATCCAACTTCTTAGCACCCAGAGAAGTCCACAGAGTTATCCCACTACTTGCATATGAGCAGTGGGTACTGACACAGGACAGCTCAAGTTCTTCTAACCAAAGGGGAAGTACTGTGGCAGTGAGATGGTGGTGATGAATGAAAAACATAAAAGTCTGCTTCCAGAACTTTGTACAATTGAAGTGGGATAAAAGCAATCTAGAACCAAGACGAACAGAAGAAGAAAAAATTCTACACAAGAAAGAAGCGGTGATAAATATCAATAAACACGCTTTTCACAAGAGACTGACTGCGATCCACAATCAATATAATCTGGATGAGCACCAAAGTCAACCAAGAGGCTAATGAATGACCAATATCTCTGGAAATCAATAGTACAGCATGTACCTATTTATAAATTCTTGGAAACACTAGCAAATCTCCCAATTAGACTGAAACATAGCCCACTAATTGTGTTATAGGACTCATCACATTAATCTAAAACTGCCCTAAGCTGATCAAATGCTAGAATCCAGCCAACGAAAGAACTCCTTTACAAATAAGGAACACAATCGACAATCTCTGGGATTAGGAAGCCACTGAGCAACTTAAAAGAATTTTAATTACTAATGGAAAACACTAAACCAAACCAAGACATCCTAAAGAATAACTTTTCTAGCAGAATTTATCCTAAAATAGTTCATCAGGTGTGCTTCCCCTGCATCATAAATGAAGAACATTGACAGCGTACCCCAACATCATAAGTAAAGCTGACAACATTTTTTATCTAAACAGAAGCCAAGGATGTGCTCATTTATTGTAGATTCTCGCAATACAAAGAACAATAAGACCATAAAATGGAATTTGTCGTTGTTTTGAAAAGAAACAAGTGTTACTAAAGGCATCTTACTTCAATTTCTTTGACACGAGTTTCGTGTTCAAGTTGTTGCTGAAGTTTCTGTTGTGCTGTTTGACCCTCCAATGCCATGCGAACACGATTCGCTCGGACGCGAGCCTGCACCCTCACTAAAGCTTGCATACAACGGAGTGTAATGGCAGCCTGCTTTCTTACAGCATGTCCTCTGACAAGAGCTTGAAGTCTCACCAATCCTTTTAAAGCCCGTAGAGCTCGTCTAGCCTGAGAAACCAACAAAAAAAATTAACAATATGAAACCATCTAATTGTTGAAACCTAAGCTTTAAAGCCATTCCTCCCTTTGATAAACACAACGCTACAACCAGTGCTAGTAAAACGTATAGGAGTGTTTAATAATGCCTCAACAATGCCCCCAATCTGGAGATACTTCCCTAAGTGAAATAGCTAGATAAGAGCATATGATAAGTACACAACATACTCATATTATGCCCATATAAGATATGTATAAATATAAACTAAAAAATTTCCATTAGCAAGCACTCTGGCACTTAGCTGAAACTAACGCATATTAAATGTTATCTACAGATCAAATATTATACTTTCTGTCAAATGATACTGAAGAACAATTTCAAAAATACTTTTTTAGGGTCATTTGGAATTGATCAATTAACATAATAAGACTTTTCAATTGTCATAGTAAATGAATTTTAATGCTAACCAATGTGGCACCCAAGCGTTTTTGGCTAATATATATAGATATTAGGCATACAAGTTAATTGTGACCAGATAGTTTTCATGCTTCTCAATAAATTTCAGTAAATCTGAAAAGCTTTCAGGTGTATTAATGATAAATCCCAGATTAAAAGCTAATTTTGATGTGATACAAGAGAATTTTTTCCCTTGTGAATGAAATCTTAGTGGTCATGTTATGGTTGATATATATCCATGTTATAACTTATAAGCATCTATATTTGTCATTTCTGTGTTTTTGGGACAAATCTTCATTGCACTTACCATGAAAAAATCACATTATCCTCGTAAATATTTTTTGTCCTGTAGTTTCAGAATAATTCAGAATAAAAGGAAGAGATTATGAAAGAAAGATGAAATGTTCGGTCAAGCCTGTAAAATTTCAGTGATAATCAAATACAGGTGCTTTTGTAAGTTCATTAAGTAACCGTATAATGCCTACAATACCAGAAATCCTCTGAAAGCTGTTTGGATTCGTATGGATGCCCATTCTTCTCTCATCTTCTGTTGAACTGGAGCAGCATATTGCACCTGAAGTGAGGTAGGAGGGCAGCTAGCAGATTTTGAATCTGATTGGTAGTTCGCATCTTCAGCTGATGTAGCAACATTTTGATTCAACTCACCTTGAAGTATGTTGGTATCAATCTCTACAGAATGTGTTCTTTTATGCTGAAGCTTACCAGTGCTCCCGGTTATCTACATGTTTAGACAAATTTGAGATGGTGATCCATGCACTACCCAAGAACATTTATCTAGAATTGTAGTCGCCAAACAAGCATTCAAGTGTCAAGAGTTTCCCTCATGGGTCCCATTCCAAAAAAATCCATATGTGATACAAGGATACATAGTTCTACTACAGTTTGTTATGCAGAAGAGGTAAAATTTTGCATTAATAAGTTCCCTTTCGACCTGCTATATAACTGATAATTTTGAGTATCATACGCATCCTACAAATGGAAAGAATATAATATCAAGATTAAAATAAAAGCTGATTCCTAGAACTCTGAGAAGAGTTCTTACAATAGAATGAGAACTAGCTAATGTAAAAGGATTCTAGATTAGAAATGCAAAAGTAGATTTGGTAAAGTTTCATATGAGCAATTTAAGACTATCACTTCTGCACGTGTCGTGCCAGTTGAGATAAGAAATTGGGGTCCACAAGTTGAGGTAGGATATGCAGTTACACAAACAAACAGAAAGTGTGAAACAGGGAGCTCAACAAAGTTGGAATGGAGGAAAATGCAAATGACGTTTACTTGCCCAAATCAGCAGGCAGCTGCAGAGTTACCTTCCCATAACTTTTTATAGATAATAATTGAATAAAATTACGAAGAGAAGAAGAATGGAAGTCCGAGAGAAAGAAAGGCGAAGAATCATAATAAGAAAATACCACTTACATTTTCATCTTTCCTTGAAGTCTGTGATTTCTCTGGTTTCTTTAAACCAAACAATGCTTTGATCCATTTCTTAGAGGCACCCATAACTATCGATCAACTCCAGACCTACCATAGAAAGCCCAAAAATGCATTATTTGGCATACTTTTTCAAAATCTTCCTGACAATTGTTTGCCACCCTATAGAAAATAAATGAGGGTACAAGTTAATTATTTTCAATGGATAAACAAGTCAAAGTAGAGAACGCCTATATAAATTAGTGGATGCAGTAGTAAACAGCAAAGTGGCAAACTATTTTGGAAAGACGGCACTTTTGGAGAATTGATTTAGCTGAAAGGAAAACAAAAGGGGAAAGTAAATATGCAACTTCAGTGAAGAAGGTAAAACACGCAATCCAAGATTTGAACCAAGGACATGGGACACAAAACCAAGACAGAATCACGATACTGTTAAGATCATAATTACTAAGATATCACAAAATCTTGTGCAACATGAGTAATGTAACTAGAAATGATTGTGGGCACTTTTTTGTAATATCTTTTCTTCTGAACAGTAAACCTCCCCGTATAACATTGAGGAAATCAACATTATAAGGCCAATGTGAAGCAAATGCAGATCATCAACCGAGCTACGAAATTTTAACTCACAAATAGAAGACATTTCCCACTTAAGTGATAAGAAAAGGAAACAAAGCAAGAGAAGTTTGTTCCCGAGTTACACTTAGTACTGACTAAGACAGCATAGATTTAAAAGCATTTTAAACTGAAAATGTTTTCTTATCCTGATAAATACAACACCCGTAAGTTGCAGTCATGATGCTCGGGAGGCTTAAGATCTTTAAAGTAGTTTTCTCCAACTCATTTTCTGAGAAGTAAAACTTGTATATCGACTCATGGGAGCAACCAATATGCACAAAATTTAAGAATTTTATGCAGTTATCAACAGAAAGGAGTAAGAGGATCTATTCAGACCTCACATACAAGAATATTTATAACTGATAGAGGTTCTTCATTACTTTTAATGCCTTTAGTCATAGGTCGAGATCGTGGATAGCTGTTGCTTAGTAATTTTAGTTCTGTTGAATTATTCTTGCAAATCTGCAGAGCTAACTAAGGCCAAGACTAACAACAGAAGAGGAATTCATTTCTATTTTAGATGTTTTGCGTATTTAGTACCTCAGTTGGCTTCCTATAAGCACATGGAAATTAATATGAGCAGAAAGGTGTTAGTCTCATGATCAAGAAATTATTATACAATAGTTAAACACATTTAATTGGAGATATGTCAAACAGAATAACTGAGGCCAAGACTAACGACAAAAGAGAAATTCATTTCTATTTTAGATGATTTGCGTATTTAGTACCTTAGTTGGCTTCCTATAAGCACATGGAAATTAATATCAGCAGAAAGGTGTTAGTCTCATGATCAAGAAATTATTATGCAATGGTTAAAGGCATTTAATTGGACATGAGTCAAACACAACATCACAAAAGGCTTTATTTAAGAATTGAATTTGCAAACAGCTTTCTTATACAATTAATTTTTTTTCTTTAATGTTAGCATACTTTGAATCACATTTGCCTAAACAAACAACTTTCACAGTTTAAAAATCAAAATTTGACCGAAGAAATGAGCATTGAGCGCAATGAGTTATATTACAAGGTCAACAAAAATGGAAAGTATTAGCTAGAAAAACATTGCAATCACATTGCTAATAATCATTCCATAAAATCTTAGAGAATAAGGTAACTTGTAATCCAACTGCATTTACAACTTTACCAAGCAAAACAAAATTGACTTAAAATCCTTTACGGATCAAACAAATTTATGCTGATAAGTAAAGTAAGTTGATAACACTGATTTTAATCAAAACTTTCTCAACTGATTGCATAAAATTTGATGCTTTATAACGAGGAGCATTTATAACTACGATTTTCAACTTAAGTTTCAAACTTTCTTGCTATTTAAGCTCATTATCACTCGATTACATCCACAGTACAGCACATTTTCCAAGACCCGGCAAATTTATTGATATGTATCCAAAACCAGCTCGACTAAGCAAATTCCAAACAGAAAAAGAAGGATTTAATTAGCACTGTTCAGATTAAATTATTCAAAATTCCTCGACTCATTTAACGAACTATGTAGTCTGCAGATCTATCCATTACACATTTATGCATTTATAGAATAATTTTTGTGAGCTCAATTCACCTGAAAATTTTGACTGGTCGATAAAATAGTTCTTCGGTATAAATACATAAAAGTGAGTGAGTGAAAAGAACCTTCACTTTCCGTGCCTTTGGGACGTTGCAGTGGATCTATCTATACAAATCATCAATCCATCTTCAACAAATGAAGAATGTTAAAACTGGGTCAATGAAGAATCAATCAACAGTCCAGATGATTGAAAATGTAATCATAATTGGGGTTTCTCAGAAGCTATGGAATTATAGTAGGCATTTTGTGGCAGGTGGGGGGCCAGCTGATGGGGTTTGATGGGAGTAGATAGAACGATGTCGTTTTAATGGGGTTAAAAAGAAAATTTAAAATCTTTAAAGTCGTTGTCGAGTGGGAAAAGAGGCCAATAGTCAATCACGGGAATTATCTTTTGTCCCCGCCCTCGGATCCGTTTGTTCACTGACCAAATTGTCTCGTCTTATGATTTGTAGCCATAAGTCCAAAATACTTTTTTAATTATATATTTTTTAATAAAATAATATTACACGTAAATTCAAAATATTTCCTTAATTTTAACCACATATTCTCTATCAATATTAATTTAAAAAATACTTCAATTTTATAATTTACTATGCAACGCTATCGAATTCATTATTATGAACATGATTTTTGAAGAAGCAAACGAAGAAAAGAGGGAGATTTTTCAAGAAGAAAATCAAGTTTCCTTCGATGTTTCTCAATGTAGATTATCATCAAAATTCGTTGTTCAGTTTTTCTTTTAATTTTTTTTCATATACACACGTTCTAATGGACGAGTCAATAACTATGTGAGATGTATGATATTTTTATACGATCACATTACTAAGAGAAGATTGAGAGGGATCGAGAAGTGCTCGTGATTCAAGTTGAGACTAAAATGAACATATTCTTACACGTGGTAGAGCAAGAGTGTGGAGAAAGAGTAATGTTATTCATCACAATTGGGGATGAAAACACAGTCTATGTGGATTTAAATGATATGTTAAATGAAAGGTGAAATTAAATGACTTATTTAATTTCACCTATTATTTAATGTTATATGGACGCCACGTAAACTGTGTTTTCATCCCTAGTGAAAATGAATAGCATTACTCGTGGAGAAAATGTGGCTCATGGATGAAGATCTAGGCAAATGAGTGAAAATAAGAAATGAATAACTATCTGAATTGATAAATTTAAGTTGTTCTTTATTCATTTTAGTTAGTGTTGACGTTAAATATAATAAATCTCGATCATGTCTCCTTCCTACGTCACGATATATAACATTATTAGAGTATTTTCAATGCAGTTGTAAATTTCCTGAAAACTTGTGCCACGCGGCAAACAATACATTATTTAAAAAAAATAAAATTACTTACCAATGCAAGATGGTAGACTCCATCAAGTCAACATGACAATAAGATAGATAATGTATAGAGTTTTGTATATATTCAGAAGTTTTATTAGGTGGATTGACTCAATAAATTAATATTGTTTTCATATTTATATTTCCTACCTCGATTCATACGAAATCTTGTTTTTGCTTCTTTGAAAAAAATAAGAATGCCGTGACGACAATCAGTATAACGCATTGTAGACTAACTCTGAATTTGAGTGTGCTTATTAGACATCAATGCCGTGTAAACAGACAGTCTTTTAGTTTTTGTATGTACATATATAATTGTATGTGCGGAAAATTAGGTGAAAAGAGGGTTTGCTTAAGGGGTATGATTTCACTTATTACTTGCGGCAGCCGAGCCATTATTATATAAAAATTAGGCTATCTTTTTATTTATAAATTGATTCTTTTTATTTCGTATATGTAATTTGAGGGTTTTGACAGAAAATTGTAAGTCTTTTTTCAACAATACTCGTGGGTTTTGGCGAGTTGAATTCCAAAGATTGTAAATTTTTTTTCATTTATTGGAAATCTACGACAATATATAATTTTTTCCTCTATATCTTTCTACATTGTTCCTGTCTCCTTAGGATCATGTGGGCAATATAAAGAGCTGGTCTAGATATTCATCGACCTATTTACATATAGAGGAAGAGGAGGCATGTGGCTTACGATGAATCAATCATGATGCGTTGTAGATGCCTATCATAAAACCAAATTATGCCCCAAGTCAACGAGAAACTTTTCATGATCCAGCTCGATTCGATTGACACTACAAATGCCCAATAAGCTAATGTGGGGCCCTATCTCGCCCCGTGTTCGCCAAGCAATATATTGATGTAACATTAATATCTCAAGTAGGAATTATACATTTATGTGCAAGTCGAACTTAAAATAAAAATAAATGCGAGAAGCTTATGTGATCACCTTCGCTATAGCAGGACTTATAACATATATTTGAGGACAAATTCCATTCACGATAATTGTGCTTTCACTCTAGATCAATCATGCAACTATGCTTTAATTTTAGGGAAATGCTATAAGTATATTAGGGATGCCATAATGGTGTTCATAATGGACACATGACTCCCCACAGCCACAGAACATGGTGAAAAACTGAACCCCAACAACAACAGATCTACCACCACCAACACTAGATCTGTCACCAACGACTGCAAACATAAACAACCATCAGCTAACCACAAATCCGTCACACCGCATAATACAACCAAAAAAATCACATTATCACAACCACAAGCTAGCAGCAGCGTCTCACGCTAACCACAAACCACCACACGTTGCTGTGGGGTAGCAGCAGCGTCTCACGCTGTTAACCACAGATCCGCCCCACCCACTACTACACCACCGCATAACACAACCAAAAAAATCACATTATCACAACCACAAGCTACTGAGCTAGCAGCAGCGTCTCACACTAACCACAAACCACCACACGCTGCTGTGGGGTAGCAGCAGCGTGACAGTGCTGCGATTCGCGAAAAACGATGCAGCAGCGTCTCAGTGATTCGCGAATCACAGCAGTAGCACTGCTGCTGCTCGCTACTGCGATTCGTAGGGGGGATGGGGAGGTGGAGGGCAGAGAGGGGACGGAGGGGAGGGGGACAAACATAAACAGCCATAAGCCAACCACAGATCCGCCACACCGCATAACACAACCAAAAAAATCACATTATCACAACCACAAGCTAGCAGCAGCGTCTCACGCTAACCACAAACCACCACACGCTGTTGTGGGGTAGCAACAGCGTCTCACGCTGATAACCACAGATCCGCCACGCCCACTACTACATCGCATAACACAACCAAAAAAATCACATTATCACAACCACAAGCTACTGAGCTAGCAGCAGCGTCTCACGCTAACCACAAACCACCACACGCTGTTGTGGGGTAGCAGCAGCGTGAGGCTGCTGCGATTCGCGAAAAGCGACGCAGCAGCGTCTGAATCGCAGCAGACTCTGCTGTGATTCGCGATTTCGTGAATCACAGCAGCAGCACTGCTGCTGCTCGCTGCTGCGATTCGTAGGGGGGATGGGGATGGGGGGGAGGGGAGGCATTTCAGCCTTTCAGGCAAGAGAGAGAGAGAGAGAGAGAGAGAGAGAAAGGAAAGAAGGTAGAGAGTGAAAAATTAGGGGAGTGTTTATATAGCACCTATTTTTTAAGAATGAAATTTGGTCCCTAATTTTTGAATTTGAAACTTTAAACACCTGCCTCCATGTAATTTCCTCAAATTTTATGGGAAAAAAACGTATATCCCTGATTAATATATATTAATTTATTTTATGCTATTAAACTGTTTTAATAACCAAAATTTCTACGTAATCCCATTACAATCCCAATAGTCATGTACATGAACTTTCCTTTTTGGATCTGTAATTGAAAGTCTTCATGGACAAACAAAATCGGTAATATGGAAATTCAAATTCAAATTGCAATTGATTGATGCTAAAAAAAGAATTAGTTCACATGTTTACGGTAATATGAATTTAAAATTTTTTTAAACTAAAAAAATAAAATAAAAATCGGGAAAACTACCAAATCGCAACTAGTTCACTGGTTTACAGTTGAACCGGTCGGTTCAGTTGGTTTTGAGTGATTTTTTCATAATCAGTTAGTTTGGCCTGATTTTGGATTCGATTTTTATTTTACTAAGTGGTTTAGAACATCTTTTATTGTATAAGTTCGTTGAAAAAAAAAAGTCTAACGTAACTTTCTCGCTCCGCTCCTAGAATGAATGATAATCGATGATAGACTTGATGTCTATCATTTATTCCATGTCAATAACTAACAATTATACTTGTTTCATTGAACCACATATTTTGTTAAATTTTATAAAAAAATTCCTTATATGTTTTTAGATGCATGGTAGAGTCACAATTGCACTGCTAGCAAATCATATCCATTCCCCTCGGATACTTTAAAGCGCGCTTTATTATATGAAAAAAGCGTCACGCTTTTCGTAGAACTCGTGGTACACGCAATAAAAACGCACGATGCATTTAAAATCATTTTTTAAATAGAGAGAAAAAGGAAAAAATAAATAAAAATAAAAATAAAAATTGAAAGCGAAGAAGGACGTAGAATATTCTAGACCCTTCAGTTTTTTTCCCCTCAAAATCCCCGAAAAAACAGCTTATTACCATCAACGGTCGAGATCTTTGACCATCCACCATCTAGATCCAATCTCCACCGTCGATACACTCGTTCATCAACCTACACACCCTACGGCCCATTCTTGGTCTCCCTCTCTCTAGTTCTCTTCGCAGCCCCCCCTCTCTCTGTGAAATTGACGAAATCTAACAGAGCTGCAATTCTTGATCCAGACGACAATAAAGTAAATCAAGATGTTTGGGAGGGCACCAAAGAAGAGTGACAACACTAAGTACTACGAGATCCTCGGGGTGCCTAAAACGGCGTTACCGGACGATTTGAAGAAGGCATACAAGAAAGCTGCAATCAAGAATCATCCTGACAAGGGTGGAGATCCTGAGAAGGTATTTTTTTCGATCTAATATTTCGATGATTTTATTTTCCTAAAATTATGTGCATTCAGTAGCTAATGTAATTTTACGAGTTAATTCATTTACTGGTAATGTTTCTCGAAGCGATTCCGTTGTGTAATTAATTGTCTGTAAGATAATGTAATTTTACGAGTTAATTCATTTACTGATAATGTTTCTCATAAAATTCATATTCAAAACTCTTTTTTCCCAAAAGTTTGATTGTCAAACAGGGGCTATAAGTTCTACTGTTGATTTTTCTTTAAATGATGGAGTGGCAAAGAACAAGAATGTAATATTAATTTGAATTATGAATAATTCTGGGTTAATGCTGTTGTACAATAAAGAGAAATGCAGCAAGATTCAAGATACTGAAGGAGAAAATAATAAATTTAAGTAGGAGTTGGAGAAATAATAGTTAAAGACTACTTTGATTTCGCAAGAGAAGGTTTTCAACTGTGCTGCCTGTTTAATAGGAGTATATATTTTAAAACAAGTATAATTTATGGAAAATTAATCTTTAACTGGACTGTTTCATGAAAAATGAATACCTGAATTCTCTCCAAGTCATCTTGTTTCAAAATTTAGTATGAGCTTTTTCAGTTTGCGACCTGATTTTGGGTGCTAAGTATCTCTATCTTCCACTTAGGGTTTTACACGCCATATAATCTTTCAGGCATGCTCCACTTGCAATGTTTGCTCTTTACACCAACTAATTTTTAACCATCAGTTTTGTTGTATGTTCATTATCTACATCATCGCTTCCAATAAAGCACGTAACACTAAGCTATTTATTTTCCTCTAATTTGTTATATTGAAGTTACCTATCAGTAAAGCTATAAGCATGATATTCAATAAAGGTGTTAGATATTAGACGTTGTAAGAAGCTGTATAATACATTTGGATCCATTTGTTTTGAGTCAGTCAAGTTTGTTGTAATACGATTTAAATGAGGTATTTTACTGGCTCATTCAGATTTTGGAAACTGGAACAGAGATCGTCTAATTCAGTTTAGCTAGACAAAGTTCTCACAGAAGTCAATTAGATTTAGGTGCGTTAATTTTGTTGTTTCGTTATTGTGTAAGTTTTGTAGAGCTCTTTCAACTCGTGTAACGACCCAAATTTTTACATTTGGAATCATTATGCATGTACTGTAAAGAATACTTTTATAAGAAAAAGAAAGATAGAATATTTTCTTAAAATTTAAAGATTAAAATTAGTTTAAAGAGAAATACGATGAAATTAATAAGGAGCATGCTTGAGCCCCATTTTTAGTGTAGAATGCATTTTTGAATAGTATATTAATGGAGAATGTGTGGTCAAACAATAAGGAAAGGTTTTGGATCTGCGTGTAATATTATTTTATTGAAAAATGTGGGGTTGAAGAAAAGAGATGAAAATGTATTTTGAAAAAGATAGGGATCAAACATGGTCCAAAAATCATTAAACTACATAATTTATTCTTCCTTTTCACCAATGCAAGCACAATCCACCTCCGACCACCTAAAAACCGCCCTTTTAATTACTTATAAAAGATTCAACATATACATATGGGGCTTAAACCTCACTAACTGAGTGATAATGAATTGCATTCCATATTTAAATACAGAAAATCGTAATATACATATGGAGACACGTAAATTAAAATCCGAATTTTGTGGTTATAATTCACTTGCGTCAATACTAAACTTTGGTCCTTTGAACTTACACATATAGGACTCTTATAATAATTATAACTTGGATTTTCATATCATTATAATCATAACATAAATTTCTGTAATTCAAATATTGAAAGAATAATTTGTACTACTGCACTTATAATCGTATGGAAGAAGATAAAGATAAATCGAATAATTTGTCTTGTTAGATTTTTACTTCAAAATTTCTCGGACATCGCGCGTCCTAAAATTTGTAATGAGAAAATGTGTAGGTAGAAGATGAGTTGAGAGGAAGAGAGAGAGTATAATATAAGTTGTGTGTAAGAGATGAGAGGGGTATAAATAGGGGTTTGTAAGGTTTGACCCCCTATACCTATTTTTGGTAATAGCATTCATTTCTTTATTAATATCACGCGTTTTCCCATATAAAATGCAATCAATTACTCAAGTAATTATCCAATTGAATATATTAATAAATATATAATTGTTACTAATAAGACATTGTCATATAATTTGATTTAATTATGCAAAATTAAATATTCTATCATACCATATGAAAGTGTAAGATTGCTAATTACACGTGCATAAATAATGTTTCTAATTTTTAATCGATGAAAATTTTTCCAATGATAATAACTAACCAATTATTTAGGTTAATTGACATGCAATACTCATATCAAATCATGCAATCACATTTAATCAAAGTAGAAATTAAGTTACTTTTTATAATCTAAATACAACAACCCTATAATCTTTTCCTTGACTAAACATGACAATTCCATGATCATTTTTTTACCAAAATTCGAAATTCAAAAAGTGCACATTGGGTCCTTCAACTATGGAAAGTTATCAATTTGGTCCCTTTGCTTTCATCAACGAGTATAAAGAAACTTTTGGGATATTATACCTTGACTGTTAGTGTGAAATCAATCGTAGGGAAGCATCAGTTGGTTCAACTAATTATCCCTTTCCAGTGCATGATTTGATCACGGGACTTCAATTCCTAATGAGTTGGGTTTATTCCAGTTTAAGGAGCTTGCTCATGCTTATGAGGTTTTGAGTGATCCGGAAAAACGTGAGATCTATGACCAGTATGGTGAAGATGCACTCAAGGAAGGAATGGGTGGCGGTGGAGGCATGCATGACCCATTTGACATCTTCTCTTCTTTCTTCGGTGGGAGTCCGTTTGGAGGTGGGACATTTTATACTGCTTTGTATTTTATATGTTTAGGAATATAAGAATTTTTCTTATATTGTACTAGTTTTAATACTCACCTGGTAAGTAGAACATACCATGATGGAGGAATTCTTTTGATGATAACTAGGTGGTGGTAGCAGTAGAGGACGGAGGCAAAGAAGGGGAGAGGATGTTGTACATCCATTGAAGGTCTCTCTTGAAGATCTGTATGTTGGGACCACTAAGAAGCTCTCCCTGTCACGGAATGTTCTTTGCTCGAAGTGTAATGGGTAAGTTTTTAGTTCCTTGCTCTGCTGTTGTAAGTCGTCAATGTGTGTTTAGCTAAATTGCCTCTGTATATTTCATTTTCTTTGACCATTGGTATCTGCGCATTTTCTTGTTTGCAGAAAGGGATCAAAATCTGGAGCTTCAATGAAGTGCTCAGGGTGTAAAGGAACTGGTATGAAGGTTACTGTTAGGCAGCTTGGTCCGGGTATGATCCAGCAAATGCAGCATGCTTGCAATGAATGTAAGGGATCCGGAGAGACTATTAATGATAGAGATCGATGCTCACTGTGCAAAGGTGAAAAAGTTGTTCAGGAAAAGAAAGTTTTGGAAGTACACGTAGAGAAGGGTATGCAGAACTCACAGAAAATTACATTCCCTGGAGAAGCTGATGAAGCGGTGAGATGGCTAAATCCTGTGTTTCATTTGTAGGATCGATAGTGCCAAGTCCGTGAAAATTTTTGAGTACTTAAGTGTATTTTATTTCTTTACAGCCTGACACCATCACTGGAGACATAGTTTTCATCCTCCAGCAGAAAGAGCATCCTAAATTCAAGAGAAAGGGTGATGACCTCTTTGTGGAGCACACACTTTCGCTCACAGAAGCATTATGCGGATTTCAGTTCATCCTCTCCCACTTGGATGGCAGGCAACTCCTTATCAAATCACAACAGGGAGAGGTTGTGAAGCCTGGTTAGTCATTTGTTTCTAATATTTCTGGGTTCAAATAAATAAATTTTCAATTCATATGGTCTCCTCTTATATACTGGTCTGGGTGCATACAAATCTTGCAGATTCTTTCAAAGCCATCAATGATGAAGGAATGCCAATGTACCAGAGGCCATTCATGAGAGGTAAACTGTACATTCATTTCACAGTGGACTTTCCGGATTCTTTAAGTCCAGATCAGGTGAAGGCCCTTGTGGAAGTTCTGCCTCCAAAGCCTCAATCACAACTCACAGACATGGAGTTGGACGAATGTGAGGAGACTACATTGCATGATGTTAACATTGAGGAGGAGATGCGTAGGAAGCAGACTCAGCACCAGGAGGCGTATGATGAGGATGATGATATGCACGGTGGAGCCCAGAGGGTGCAATGTGCTCAGCAGTGATGAGCCATCCAAGAATAATTGTGTTAGTAGGGTGTGTGTTTGATGTCGCTTTTGTTGCTTGATAAAATCCCCTAATTTTATAAACAATGAGATTACTGATTCTATGCCTATGAAACATGATTTAGTTTGTGTACTTCTGGTATTGTACTTCATGCCATGTGGCGTTATGCTTAAAATGATGAGTTTGGCTTTAGCTACCTTATAGTCTTTGATGTTAATTACAGTAATTAAGGCGAACTGTTTAGTAATCGAAAGTATTATTGGATAAAAATAAATTAAAATTTAATAATGTTCAACAAGTATAAGCTCTCTATATTTTTGTGCAAATCAGAAGCACAGACTAATCAATGCTTATCTCGTACCATTCTCACCTTCTTCTGGAGATACCATAATATCTGAGAGGTGTATATTTTGGGTCTATCCATGGATTTTATGCACAATCTTGCAACATTTAGAAGACTATGAACCTCTGTCTGATCATAGTTGTTTCCAATATCTGGATCCATTATCTTATGCATGGACCTTGAAATGTAAGTTTCTTGAACCCATTGCACTAAATCAGCACCATTTCTTTCAGAGGATTGCCCAGTAATCAGCTCGAGAATTAGCAAACCGAGTTGAAAGATTATGTTTTTGCAAGTCTGTCCTGTACATTCTGCAGCAGAAAAGCCTCAGAAACTGCTAAAAGATACGAGGAAGCTGTTGTACGGAGTTAATTAAAAGTAATACCTTTTATACAACTTGAAGAGTTAGGAAGTATAACTTGATTCCCAGCAGAACGAATAAGGCTAATATCAGAAAGCTGTAGAGCGAAGGAGAATTGTAACTTTTATTATCTGATGTGAGTTTAAGTAAGCTTCCACTAAAAGCACAATTCTCAAAACTTGTGGTTGGATGCAATTGTACAGAAAGCCATAAATATCACTTGATGTACACCTAACCTTTGGGGTTAAATTCTCATCCAACATTATGGTGCTTGAACTTATAGAGACATGATACACTGGTGGATCACAGAAGAAGTGCAGATATTCCTGCATTATTATACAATTAGATATTTAAACCTGAATAGAAAGTTTATATACATGAATATCCATTTGAAGTTTCCAGCACAACCACAGTTACGAGCATTTCAGATAGTTAATATACATAACATCCATTTGAAGTTTCAAGCACAAAAATAGTTCAGAGCATCTCAAGTAAGGTAGATGATCAAACGAGGCACGTGATGCAAGCAATGCCATCCCTTGCAATTTACTAGGTTTATAAAATGAACCATTTGGGAATTTGGCGTACTCAAGTCACCTATTATTGCTTTATAAGCAATGTTCTAAAAAGCGTAAAGCGTGATTAGGTATGAAGGCCAAGCTTCAAGTTTTACGATCCTATGCATAAAAAAAGTGTTTTATCATTTTTAATATTATTTTTAATTTTTTAATCATTACAAAAATCATTTAATAATTAAAAATAATACATATCCAACATCTAAAATTATAAATTACTTTATCTACTTAATAATTCCTACAATTAGATAATTGTATTTTCCATAGTTTCAATTTTTTCATTTTAGACATTTGTACAGATAAAATCATTTAAAAATTTGAAACTAAAGTCAAATAAAATGTTATTAAAAAAGGGAAAAAATAAAAATAAAATTATTAAAGCGTGCCTAGGCGCACATTACTGCCAAGGCGGGGGCGTTTCTCTCACACCGCCTAGGCACACTTTTTAGAACATTGCTTAGGCTATAACTTATTTAATTGTACATGATTGGTATAAATTACATTGCAATTTTGACTTACCAATGCAGCAGCAATGCCAATGGCTATTTGCAGCCTTGTTCTCCAATTCAAGGGAGTCTTCAGAGGATCTGCAAAATGCCAAACATTTATAGAAAACCTGAATTCGGAAGATGCTGAATAACTTGTTTTGAAAATTACCAGATAGATGCTCCTTAAGGCTTCCTCTTTCCATGTTTTCGAACACAAGATACCTGAAAAATGAACCAACGAATTCATATTCAATCTCAGTTAGTTTTATGTAGAGTTTGAAAGGTGTTGATTTTACTGGCCAAGAAGTCAGATAACATTTGATCTGCAAAGATATCCAGAGACCATCTCCTCGATCATAAAAAAACTTTCACACATGATAAAATGTTATGTCCACCAAATATTATGTAGTTTGAGAACTTCCACACAAGACAGTAACTTTCGGTGGTTTTTGAGACAGGAATGTGCTTGGCTTTCTTCCAAGTGTAGGCTGCTAAAGGATAGAATGTCTGTAAAGTAAATATAGCATAAAAAAGGATATTCGAGCATCTTTAAATGAAGAGCCAAAATAGAGAGCATTGTTGTAGTATATAAATAATTTTACTCTTTACATTTATAAGATGCTCTCTATAAATAGCGAGTATCTTGGAGATGCTCTTAGGATGGATGTTGGTTACAAAAGAATGAATAAGAAGGGAAATAAGTATATGCACCAACAAGTGGAGGGGGCAAGAAGTGATGGTAATTTAATGGAAGATATGTTTAGCGTAGGCCTAAAGAAAATCCCATTACCAAGAGCGATTAGGAAGAGGTAGACAAACATTAATGTAACTCAATGTGGTCACAAAATTTATAGGCCCTTTAGTCGAATGAAGTGGAGAAGAGGATTCATGTAGTTGATCTTAAATTTACTAGGAATAACTCTTATCTTGTTATTGCGACAAGAATGAACACAACTATGGGGGTAATTTAGATAATAGCCTTTATGTATTTAGACATATTTGCAAATGACAGAGGAGACAAAACTTTCTGTCTGGCAGATGACTAAGTTTGGTATTATAACATATATGCAAGGATTACTGCAATCATATAGCCAGAGTAATGTTAACATACACAAGAAAACACAGAATGCTTGTAAATAAAGTGGTAGGGGCTATTCAAATACAGATTGACAGAGTTTATTAGGCCAACTTAAAAAAATTACAATACAGAATAAAAATCAGAAGTGAACCGATAATTGCAGACAGAAGCTTATAGTTTTTAAGAATCTGAAAAGCTTACCAAACGAACAATTTCAATGAAATCGCAGTTTCTTATTTTATCAAGCTCAATTCTATGCATTCCCTTTTTCTTAGGATTCAAAACTTACCAAGCCTTAAATGTTTGCCATTGTTGTCATATTTAGCCAAATGTGGTATTTACCCTTAAGATGCCCTGTAAGATGGTGGAGAACACCAATCTCGAATCTGAATGCACTTTTGAGCTTTTAGTCAAATAGATTGCTCATTTGAGCTTAATACCATACCGAGTCCTGGAATTTCATCTAAAGAGGTCAACCTCGTTAAGAGGAGTAATCCAAGCCTTTATATGCTGGCTATCATTTTCATATTTAACTGATATGGGATTTAATCTTAACAGTCTCGACCCCCCTCACAGATAAAGAAAAAAGAAAAAAAAAGAATGAATTTCTCAAGAAATACGCTATCCTATTTTCACGAACCAAGAAACTAAAACAAAAAATGGCAGTTTACAACAAGGAAAGGAAATCTTAGGTATCAGTACCGCTTAGGTCCAGTAGAAAAACCACTAAGCGCAACAATGTGGCGGTGGTGCAAACGCCCCAGGAGCTGAACTTCCCTATAGAAGGAGGCATCATCACATTCATTGAAACCTTTGACTTCTTTTATCGTAGCAACAACACCATTTTCAAATCTGGCCTTATAAGAGTTCCCTCTTGAAGAGTTATCAATAATTCTTCTAAACCCATCTGTCGCCTTCTTTATATCCTTGTATGAGAAGTGCTTCACAAGAGATATTGGACCTTAAAACAATGATTTATCCAAGCAGTTACTAAACATGAAAATATTTTTAATTTCTACAAAATCAAATACATGCAATTATAATTGTATTGTGATTCCAACACAGACATCTATCTTCAGTATGCAAGACGAAAGGATTCCGATATGTTGAAAATTACTTGGCATGAACCTAAGCAACGTACCATGTCAATATTGTCCATTTCTTTCCAGGACATAATGAATCAAACTTCTGAGTTCCTATTATAGCTTCCACAATTGTAATCATGTAAGAAGGGTTTCACAATGAATATGCCTAACTTTATGAGACATTCCTAATTTCTCATATATAAAATTTCAGAATGTTGAAGAAATAGGAAATTTACATACTTGTACAATGAAAAAAGAATGTAACTTCAAAACTTGAACTGACGAAATGCAGACAAGATGTGGCCTCATCTAATGGCTACTGGACCAAGGAAGGCAATAAGTTTAGTGAGTACATGCCATTTTCATTGTTACTGTTCTGGCTGTTACAATTAGATCCACTTGTCTAGGACTCGATCTTGGTACCAATCAATAATGATCAAAAACTTCGTGATCCTATTAGTGAAGCAAATTCAATAAAACAATTACTGCACAAATAGTTGTGAATTAAGGAATTGTATACAAATTAGCTATTAATCTGTTATGGACATTTCATATTCCCCCTTTTCTTTTCGTATATTTTTGCTTACTATACCCGCTGCTGTAGTGTTATAAACTGTAGTGTTACTCTTGTTTCCTAGGGGATAAATCTGGCCCCTTACCGTATTCCCGTCTACGTAAGAGAGGTAGCTAACCGACTTCTAGGAGAGACATAATTGACTACATTCATCTCAGTACCTATGCCACCCACAAAGTTTAAAGAACCTAAAAGATCTATTAGACTATGGAGTGAATGATTTCATTAATGAAGATTTGGTTCTTTCTTCAGTGTGGAATCAATTCTTCCATTTTTCAGATTGGGTTGATCGCGCGAGAGAGATGGGCCAGATGGCAGTGTATATAGGAATTTGGAGAAAATAAAAAAGTCACACACAAGGGTTACTTTGTCCATTCATTAACACTACTATAGGTCATCACTCAAATTGAATTATAACTACTTTGTATATGATACCTGCATTTGCATTAATTGTTATTTGACCAATTTAATATGAAATCAATTGACTCTTAATGCTTCCATAAACATTCATTTTCCACATTAATATTTATAATTGCCGATCAATTAGAATTAGAACTGAAATTTAACCCTGAAACAAATTAAGAGATGGAAACTAACTATTCATCTTAATTTTCTTGGTGGAATTTCAAAACGTTTTGTACTTATATAAGTAAATATTTCGAAAAGGAACACAATAATTGTGAAGGCAATAACTTTTGCATGGAATTGACAAATAAAATTCAACAGAATCCAAGTAGTTTGCCAGAAGAAAAAGTACATCATTGGATTCCTATCTGTTACACATTCACACAACTCCATAGAAATTACATAATATTACAGCTTCAAATAGGGTGGAGTAAAAATCTAACTTTTAAGTGTTCTGATAAACAAAAACGAGGCCTTTTCTTATCATTGCTTCTATTTTTACTAATCCAGTTTCGAAAACAGGGTGACCGTGCTTGTATCTTCAGGTGAAATAGCCGTGCATGTACATGAGTAGTTTTTGCACTTAACTAATGTATGTTTCCTCGCACACTCTAAAGATGTCCCTTTTGATTTTGAACACAAATTTTATAGTTGTTAGGTGTAAATGACATTTTTGTAGAGTTTCACAAAAAACAAACTATTCTTTTCAACAGCGTTTTCCCCCAAATCTTTCACCATTATCAGCAAATATTTAATCTAAATTAACTGGGAGTTAAATGCTGAAGACACAAGAATGGGAATGCAGTTCCTAATACAGGCAATACATTCACAACTCCGATAAAAAATTTATTAGATGGGTTCAAAATAAAAAAATACAATATTTCAACACTCTCAGAAATAGCTTGTCAAGTCCAGTTATATTCTCCACGATGATATGTAAATTATTTTATTAACAGCAACCGTTTACTCACACAGAAATAAAATATTAAAAATCATGTGAAACTCCAAATTGTAGCATCCAACCTAATTCCAGCAGTAATTCAAATACAATTCTTGAAGAAAATAATGAAAAAAGAGTTCAAATCACTTCACAATACTTTCTCCTCAATCTTTTCTTACAATAAATTTCCAAGAAAAATAAATAAATCACAGGCCAGTAAAATATCCAAAAATGGAAGAATTTAAAAGGGTGGAGCATACCATTTTGGGATCGGAGGTGAAGCCAAGTAAGAAGAAAAATTCTGATCTTGAGGAGCAAATTTTCAGCGTCCATTTTTTGTGGGTTTAGGATTTCTGGTGAAGAAAATAATTATGCAGAGTGAAAGTGGGTGCAATCATGACAGTGAACCTCTTTCGCCTTAAGTCAGCAAAGAATATATGAAAGGTTTCACCTTTACTATTCATGTAGTTACCTTTTTCGGTTAAATGGACCATGGCGGTTAAATTGCGTATTATATTAGCTGTTATAACTTGATAATTAAATGGATTTGCTTTTTGGAAAGATGTACTTTGATTCTTCAATAAAAGGGCAAGATAACACAACTTAAAAGAGACAAATGGAAAAGATAAAGAAGGGGTGGGGGGTGGAAAGTTCATGCGCACTTCGAATCCAATAAAAATATGCTGATCTTTCTGAACTTGTCGGACGCCTACTTGAATAGGTAGATCAATTTTATTATGGAAGGCATAATTGAGATGAAATCGCAAAGTGTTGATCGATTGATCTAGACATAAAATGCACATTACAACTTTGTGCTCGCAATTGCTCTCCATTTGGTCGGTGGGCTAAATATTTGGTAGAAGCTACCCTGAGAAAGCTCTCACTCTGCGAGCACTGGGCCTATCGAGTTTGATTTTGATACTAATGAACACATGGATGTGGGAGTGAGAAGCTACGAACAAACTTATTTTACCCTTCTTCTGTTCTTCATGAGTTTGAAAGGAATAAAATAAATTCGACTAAATTGATAAGTACATGTTACCACTTCTTTAAGTCTTTCACCCCTGTTAATTTTTTAGACGTTAATTCTTAACAATTGCCAATTTCACTCTTTTATGACTATAAATTTGTATACAGAAGAGAACAAAAGAAATTTTTTTAATTGACAATTTCTTACTTTTTAAACACGCCACAGTCTATGTTGTATATGTTAAGGGATATAATCCCACATCGAATAAAGATGTTGACACGGACCAATTAA